GGGGTGAAGTAGCCTTTGGTCAAAAAGTTGTCCCACTTGACAAATCCTTTGACGTGTTCCAGCGTTTTTTCTTTTAATCAGTGGTTTTCGATAGATCCGTGGTGGGAAATTTTCAAATGAACACGCTGTTTCATAGTTGTAAGCCCAAATAATTGGCGGTGCTACGCGGGTCTCTGCACAGGAACTATTTTAAATTGAATTGGGTTATACTAATCAGTGCCTTGCCATATGCAGGGTGTTCCTTAATGATATGCGAATATTTAAGGGTGTGAATCTCCAAGGAAAATTAATGTTAGTTTGCTTTATAAACTATGGTCCTTAAAATGTTTCCTTACAAAAACTGGGGGTGTTGAAGTTTTAGGAAAACAATGGAAATTAATTAATATTTTCACAACCTCTAGAGATATTTCACTGATATTTAGTACGTAGTGGATGTTAATAAAGTTGCATATTTTTCAATGCAAAAATAATTTTTAGCTTTAACAGTGGCGTGCGTAAGGGTATTGACTTCGATAAAAAAATGGTACCCCAATGGTTCTTTGCCAAATAAAAATTATTTTTGAATCCTCCGTTCAATTTAAAACAAATGATCTCTCTTGAATTGTTTTCCTTCGAATAGCCATTTTTTTTAAAATAAAAACCGTTCTATTGTCCCATGAGCAATCTCTTATTGGCCCATTCTTCTTCCGGGACGACTTGACGGACAGACTTACTCTGTGTCTGATCATAGTGCTATCGATATTCATTGACCTTCAGCCTTCTCAACTCCAACTGTTAGCTTCTTCACATCTTTGTTTTCTCGGGAGCAATTGTCAAACCGTTTCCCTCCGTCCCTATGACAATTTGATAATCGTGTGATCGGCACGCCATCACAAAAATACTACTTAGCAATACGAGCATCTCGACTGATATTTTCTGATTAAGGTAGAAAATTACCTTAGCGATCTTACAGCGATGCACTAGTATGATTTGCTTTGGATGCAAGAGAAAAGTCATCCAATCCAATCTCCAGCCCAGAACTTGCAAAATATGTAGAGAAAAATACCGTGCAGCTTTGGTAAAAAAATCTAGATATTCGCCAGATTGTTACGTAACATGTCGTTGCTCCCGCTTGCTAAATACTGACTTCAAAGGAATTCAGAAAAGTTAACCCTGAAGCTGACCGGTTTAGCAAATTATTTTCACTGCTAGTAACTAAATTTGGAATCCACAATGACCAACCATTTTTTGCATCCGGCTGATAAAGACCAAATTCGAGGGATTCACGAGAAACTGGAAAGAATATCACTAGCTCCATATATCAAGCGGACATTCCAATATACAACTATATACTTATAATGTGAGAGGTGGAGAGGAAAATCAGGCCACTTTTAACCTGTTTTAACAGCTTTAAGCATCGTTTTCCTTTATCACTACGTAAACTCATATATTTGACCTCCTTATGCAGATAGGCAACGATGCTTGACTTCATTGTACTCACTAGATGGTAAAGATCATCTCTAGATTCTAGCCTATAAATCCAAAACTGTTGCTGTTCAGAGGTTGTCTGTCCGACTGCTCGATGACTCTTCACTAAAGGACAATCTCGGAACCCTTTCGCAGCGACAAGCCATCGGGGATCTAGCTCTCTCCTATCGCTATGTTATCGGGCTTTGCTCCTCAGAGCTCTTCTCCATGATGCCGTTGCGTCATTAACCTTCCATACAGACCCTCCTGACTTCGGCCTCATCTCCTAATCGTGTCGAACTTTGTTTATGCAAAACTGACTGGTACGACCGCTCCTTGGTCTCTAGAGTGTCGAGATTGTGAAACAATCTGCCTGAAGAGGCTATTCCCAGTTCTACTAACTTAACCCGACAGTGGTCGCTATGTGAGATTTTCACTCACATTGTTATAGATATACAGGGGACTTTGAAGTTGAGTCATTAATTTTCAGATAATGATTGTAGAAGGAAGATAAACCAAAATATGTGTGTAAAAATAAAAAAAAATAAAAAAAAATGTTACGTTGTTTTATAAAGTATCCTCCTGACAAGTATTTCAGTGCGGACCTGTATTTGATCGTCGTGCGGTCTTGAAGCACCGGCATGCCCTCCCCTGTGAAGTCTTAAGTCACCTGATTCACGAGCCCTTTGTACTACATTAACAAAGGCACGAGGGGTTGGTTGCACTCGATTGGGAAACCGATCCGCATAAAGATTTCGTTTGAGCCACGCAACAGACACCACTATTCACTCACGCGTTACCGACTGACACTGACTGTATACAACTGAATAAAATAATTGTAAAAACATCGTTCCAAATTCTTTCGCATTTTTGTTTCCGATGCGATGAACCGATAAGGCGGATTATATCCGTTGTTGTCAAACACGAGCACATAATATTATTATTGAGACAGGGCGGTACTCAAACTTCCAAAGGGCTATAACTTTGTTACTTTGATTTTACCAGAAAAATGGTAAAGGAAAAAAACATTTCTTTTGATCAGATCTACTCACTGTTAAAACAAATGACTCAACTTCGAAGTCACCCTGTATAGATAAATTCACCCCAGAAAAATCCACGATGCTGTCGTTTCATCATATACAAAACCTGACCTTGGGTGATCATTTAGCGGAAATATATAGAAGTGCCAACATTATAGAAGAAATCAGTTATAACGCCACTAGCAAAAGTCAATAACAGGTGAAGGATTTGAGACCAGTAAGCACCTTACTTCTAATGTCCAAGCTTGCATAGAAAGTGGTAGCTAACCAACTTCGTGACCATCTAGAATTAAATGAAGTCCTTCCCGATACACAGTCGGGATTCAGAAAACTACACAACACAACCACAGCGCTTATAAAAGTAACTAGCGATATAGTCAAGTTCATGGATGATGGTATGGTGACCGTATTGGTGATGTTCGATTACAGTAAGGCATTTGACATGGTCAACCATGAAGTATTATGTAAAAAGCTACAATATTATGGTATGTCTAGTAATGCCTTACTGTGGTTCAACAACCACTTGACTGGCAGATCCCAATGCACAAAGATATTTAAGAAAATGTCCACTTTACAAAATGTAATTTCTGGTGTTCCGCAAGGAAGTGTATTAGGTCCATTACTATTTACATTCTATACATCTGATTTATTAAATTTTATATCACATGATTGGAATATGCATCTATATGCTGATGATGTACAAATGTATAAAGCTTGCAAGCCAAATGAAGTTAATTTATTGATTAAAGAGTTAAATGTAAATCTAGAAATGATTGCAAACTATTCCAAAAATTATTGTTTGAAACTGAATCCCACAAAAACTAAAGCTTGCTGCTTTGGTTCTAGGTTAAATATTTCAAAATTTAAATGATTGATGAGTACAGCCATTGTTTTAGGTGATACATCTGTTGAAATTGTAAAGGAGACTAAGAATTTAGGCATTTTGTTGGACACAAATTTAAGTTTTGAGAACCATGTCATTAATAAACTTCGAGTATGCTATTATAAATATGTCACTTTGGAGATACAAACATGTTTTAACCAGTGATATAAAATTAAGGCTTACCAATGCACTAATCCTCACTAATCTAGACTATGGCGCTACAGTATATTATAATTTTCTTACGGAAGAAATGAAGCACAAAATTCAAGTATTACAAAACTGCTGCATGAGATTCTGTTTCAAAGATATACATATACAAGAACATATTTCTGGATATTATGTAAGAGAAAATCTGTTAAAATTCAAGTATCGTGTATTACTTTAGTATGGAAGTTTTAAAATATAAATTACCCAGATATCTGTTTATTGCTTTGGAAAAGAGATGTTCACTCCGCCAAGTTTCCTTACGCAACAATGAATACTTCAATATTACAGTTCATACAACATCTAAATTCAAAAAATGTTTTACTTACACGGCACCATATCTACTGAACGATCATTTAGAACTTTCTGAAGCACCTTTTATCCAAAACTTCAGAAATGAGATGGAAACAGTGCTACTACAGCTGCAAATATTTGAATCCACAAATTAAATTTATGGCGCTTGCTACACTTCCCTCCATTAACACTCAAACTATATATAACTACTGTGTTGTGCATAATATTTGTTGTGAATACTAATCATTCTGTTGATGTTAAAAAACGCTCATGAAGTAAACTTTTTAGGGGGAGGTGAAAAATGGCCCTGCCAATCCTCTTTCCTTTTGGAATGTTGTCGTTTTTATATTTCTATGTATATACATTCCAATAAAAATTATTATTATTATTATATATTAATAGACCTACACCAGTCTGTTGACAACGCCCTTTGATTGAGTACGTGTACGCTATGTGATACTAGCTCTCATCGTGCGACCAATTGGGTTTGACATGAGCCGCGAAAAAAAAATTGTTGATTTGGCCCTTTTGCAGTTAGAACAAGAGCAGAATAAGGGTGAAACCCTTCGGGTGTCCTCTGAACATAAATGAAAACCTTTAGATTATGTTTTTTATAGTAGAAGAAGACCCAACTCGGTTTTGTTACCTTTGTCCTCGTAGAAAAAATAGAAAAGTGGAAAAAAGGTGCAATATAAATATGCCGATTTGCCCCGAACACACAAGTAAATATATTTTCTCTAGATGCTCAAATGAGCCTAGTGATTCGGATTGATTTTATTTAAATAAAACATAATTTAGTTCATTTCTTTGTTTATGAGAACTTTTGTTGATCATCTTTTCAATTATCTGCGTTTTTCTGTTTTATGTTAATAGTTAATGAATAAAATACTTATTATATTCATACGTATTCTGCAATAAATAAAAAATAATAAAAGGGGCCGCGTAAGACTATTTAAACAGACTCAGTTCTGTACCCAACCAAATATGAAAGAAAATCTCACGCGCGACCGATGGCAAAAAAAAGCGTCTAGCGACCAATCCTGGGTTAAGGCAGTTGTAAATGTAACCTCAGATGCTCAAAAATTCAAAATTAGTGTTAGATTTGCATCATACTAAAATATTACTTTTTTTAGCATCTAATGAGCGGCTGGTTTTGGGACTACAGCTACAAATGTCAACCTGTGGACTATTCAAATAACTACAAAGCAATGAGGGTAAGTATCGATAGTACGATTGTTATGCACTAACAACAAGAAATCTCATTGAACAAAACCACTGCAAAGCTTAACTATTCACCATTTCTCATATTTCCGATACCAGATAACTAAATTTTCATAATAACTCCAATTTGGTAACTAACAACTAAAAAAAGAAACCTCATATTAACCACCTCACGCTTTTTTCACCATAATTGATTTATTTAATTGATTGATTTTTATATTGATTTTATTCCAAATTGTGAAAGCCATACTTGGTTGTTGGCCCTTCTATTGCAATAACAAACTCTCATATTTGTGAAAATTATTTTCCACCTTTTAGTTCGATTTTCTGTTGAAGCTGTTTTTTAAGTATTTTAAAACAATAATTTATTCTACTATACGATATTTTGCTAATCACTTGCGTTCACAGATCACGTGTTTGTCAGTGCTGTGCCCTTTATATCCAGTCTTTCTCAGTACATTTGTGTGTTCTAGATGGCCAGGCTATGTTGGTGGTACTATATTTCCAAGTTGACAGAATTTGCGGATACCTTGTTTTTCGTATTGAGGAAGAAAGACAGCCAGATTAGTTTTCTGCATCTCTATCATCACAGCTTGACGCCATTGGAGACGTGGATTCTAGTCAGATTCATCGCAGGTGAGTATTTTTTCAGCTAGTTCACTATTTTCAAGCTGTCGATTACATTTTGACAAATAAATATGTGCAGTTTCGTTTTGTATCTAAAGAACAATTCGAAAAACAGCGAGAGTTGTATTCAAATAACGTTGTAGTGGGACTTAACACTTTTGCATTGCCAAATTTCTGTTTTTAGCTCAAAAATGAAGGTTATTCTCTCGTGATTTTTCTAGACATCTAGTAGAAGGTACTTAACAATTGTTAGCAAATTCACCGGAGTCATGTATTACTACAAAGAAATAGTAATTAGAGGGACAGGCGCCTTCTAGCCGCACGAGATTGAACAATAACAGGTCTGTGATGCACTTACGAGTAGATGTTCTGGGCCGCACGCGCGCTACACTGAAGGAATCAGCGTGTCCCTCCTTCGTGCTAGGGATTGGGGCTTGCAATTATTCCCCATGAACGAGGAATTCCCATTAAGCGCGAGCCATAAGCTCGCGTTGATTACGTCCTTGCCCTTTGTACACACCTCCCGTCGCTACTACCGATTGAATGATTTAGTGAGGTCTTCGGGCTGGTACGCGGTGGCGTTTCCGCGTCGCCGATGTTGCCGGAAAGATGACCAAACTTATCATTTAAAGGAAGTAACAGTCGTAACAAGAACAGCTTTGCAGATGGGTGGCTGACTTTATCTCTGGCCGCAAGATATGTTCCCCAGGGATCGGTCTTGGCTCCGACACTGTTTCTCTTACATATCAACGACCTGCCTTCCTGCACGATCAACCAAATCCACAGCTTCGCTGATGACAGCACTCTACCTGCAGGAATTCAGAGTGACAAGCCGATCTCTGTCGCTGAGTTGGAAAAAAGAAGACTAGCGATGACTTCCTCTCTGACAAGAGACCTGGAGGCTATCACTGATTGGGGACGCAACAATCTTGTACAGTTCAATGCTTCCAAAACGCAGTACTATACTTTGACGAACAAAAAGCGTCCCTGCGCTCACCCGGTTTTGATGGATGGTCGAGTTCTGCCAAAGAGCCATTCATTTCGGCTGGTTGGAGTCCAGATCACCGAGGACCTGATCTGTGTTTAGGTCTAAGAAGTACTTTTCTCCGCATGACCTTTTCACTCTATACAAGGCCCAGATCAGGCCTAGCCTAGAGTGTTGCTCACACGTTTGGGGTGCTGCCGCCCCAACTACATTCCATGCTCGATGCTGTCAAGAGGAGGGCGGTCCGACAGATCGATGACTCTTCTCTAACAGACTGTTGGCGATCTAGATCTTTTCTACCGTTATACCAACGGGTTTTGCTCCTCAGAGCTCTCTTCCATGATGCCGCCGCGCGATGTGCCTGCCAGACAGACCCGCCTGACTTTGGCGTCCCATCGTAACCGTGTCGACCTTCGTACATCCAGAACCGGCCGATACGACCGCTCCTTTGTCCCGAGGGTGTCGAGATTGTGGAACAATCTACAAGAGGAAGCTTTTCCCAGTTCTTTTAACCTCAGGTAGTTCAAAAATCGTATTAATAAAATTTCTTTGGGATCATCATAGCAGCCGCGGTGTTCCGGCATTTAGGCATCTGCCTGCGCGGCTGCTTCGATATATAAAAGAAAAAAAACAACAATTTGTTTTTGTTGCCAATTAATACTTTTTATTAACTTATACATGTGTGCATCTGAAGGCTCCTTCTGTCTATAACACAATAATTATGTATAATTCCTCTATAACTTCCTCATATATTTATATGCATTAAGAATGAGTCTGATGACAAACTAGCTGCATCATTAAAAAAAATGGAATGCACAGTTCTAATTTATCGCCAATGACAAACTTACACTTTAATGTTATTATTTTTTTATTCTATTTCCCTAGATGTCAATAAATCATGTTACTTGTATGGTTGTCTTTGTTTTCAACTCAAATTATCTTATTACAGGTAATGTTTTTTATTTCTGTGCAAGAATGGGTAAAGTAGTGGACGGAATAAAATAAGGTCTTTGCACTGGTCTTGGCAGTTACGTATCAGTGTCATACAAAATAAGTAAGCTGGCGACCTACCCTCTCCTGTCTAAATAAAAGATTGCGCAAATCGGTAACAGGAAACCGTTGTCTTCATTCACTTTCTGTAGATACGCCTAGCATGAACTTCAGATATGATATTTTCAGGAACTATTATAGTGTTATGTCAAAGAACAAAAAGTAAACTCAAATCGCACGCCCATGACAAGCGGGCTGTCACAGTGATAGTCACAAGCACAAATGTACAACGATCGTACGTTAGGAGAACATTTTCGAGGTGGCGAATCAAAACTAAAAAAGCGTTTGTGAGCTTCCGAAACACACGTTCGCACACAATAGTAGATTTTATGTGTATGTGTTGGCGAAAACATCTTAAGTAAATATTATGGAATTGGAAAGATATATGGGTATATTTGATGAGAACGAGAAACATCATGGGTACATTGCTTTAGCTCAGCTTAGTTTATTTACGTTAACTCAAGAGCTATGAGACAAGCTCACAATTATCTGTACCCCTACTTACGCAAAAAAAGAGGAAAGTGTATTTTGTGGAGGAAATTGCCCAAAATTATCCCCCCTTTAAAAGTAATTTGAAAACTATAAAAACTGTGCTTTAAAAACGCATAACGCTTACTGTGTGATGTTAAGCATCATTCAAACAAGTGATTTGAAAAACCTTACATTCTTTTGATTATAAAAATAGCTGGCAAAACCTGACCCTTAGTACAAATGATGAGTGTTCAATTAAGATTTTATTCTTAAACAAAGGGAAAACAGATACATGGTATAATTTCTTTACGAATCCGAAGTTTGAGATGAAAAAAATTGGGGACGTACACTTTTTTTTGCTCACTGCATTCTTTGATCCCATTTTCGTTTTCCGAAAGACACATTATAGCTTTAGAAATACCAGGAGGACTCTATTTTCTTTTGTTAGTTTGTCTCATTATCCTTGAAAAGGGATTTCAAAAAATAGTGGATACTAGACTGAAAAGGGTCCAGTTTGCAAAAACCATCCAATGTAATTTCAATCAAACATCTAAATGAGCCAAATTAATATGAGCAGGGAGCAATTTAAGAAATAATGCAGATATATAGACTTACTTACAAATATGTCTAAGCAAATTGCAATACTGTCTAAGAACTTTTTCCACCTTCAAAACACATAATGCTGAACGAACAAGCCACACGTGAAGCAAGATGCTCCAAAATAGGTTAGTTAATATCTAAATTACTCTTCGCAGTAATGAAGTTTTAGAGTATGCAGATCCAGTCAGGCCTAGGGTCCTCTTTAGGAAAGGTTTCTGGGATAGGGCACTTTCCTTTACTCGTACCAGTGTCACTTCATTCACCCTTGTTTTTATCATTTTAATATTTTTCACGAATTTATAGTTATTGTAATTCTCATAATTTTCCATTAAACCCTGAATTTAAGTATTCCTCAAAATCCAATGTCAGAGCAGCCATTTAAATTTGGATACAAACAGTTATCAGTAAAATCATCAGAAAAATAAGCATACCAGCAGAAGCTCTAGATTCTAAGTATATCAATTAAAGCTCTTCAGATGTGAACTATAAAACTGTTTCCAATCCATGTGTGAAATCAAACTCTTCATGTTATATAATATCTAAAATTGCGACCGCCTTACCTGTAAATTGCAAATAATTGCAATATATCCTATGGATCTTATTGAGCGTAAACTTAACATGATTTTATAGACAGAGCCGTACTAAGGATGGATCTGATTTAGTAAAGTTTATGTATTTCTGAGATCAAATGTTTATTTCCAAAACCGTTTCACGATTTTTTTCTGAACGCATTTTATGAACGCAAGTCATGTGCATTTAGAAGTTTTTAATGTTAAGTGACCATGTATGAGTGTACGTGGTAACGAAAAGTGTCAAAATTGGGCTAGTCAAGAATACGTAAGTCCAACCATGCTTATACGAGGGATGTCTTTTAAGTTTTGCATATGAAAATAAAACAATACAGATCTGTATGCGCTCGAACCAATTATTGAAGTGCTTATTCTACTCGTTTGCTGGCAGATTCAAAACGGCATTTTTTAATGCGTCAACTGCTTCTTCTAGTGACTGGAACCCTTGACCACGCAGTCTGTTTTTCATTTTAGGGAAAGTTAGGAAATCGTTAGGACGTCGCCCAATGGCGAGGAAATATATTAACTATGAACAATTTCAAAAATCAAATATGTTTTTTATGTTATATCACAAGTATATGACGAAAAACATTGTTACACGTTTCCATCGGTCTGTCGGTCCGTCCGCTAATCTTTCGACCGCCAGTAACTTGGAAAGTACTGCTCGGATTTGGATAAAATCTTCTCACAATTTTAAAGTTTTTGAAAATCGGCCATGTCGCCGCTAGGGACAAAAGCACGAGAATAATAAAAATCACTTTGACGTTTCAGAGGCTCCTGATCATTTCCAGAATTTTCGTCGAAGTACTTGAAATTGTGGGGTTGGGAGTTGTAAGGGGTGGGGGAGGGCATATCTCATTTGGTTGGCGGCAGTATATTTATATGGTTCCAACCCCAGTAATTTTATGCAAAGATCAGTACATATTTGACACATCAAGGACTTCCCCGTACATTTGCCATTATAAGAGAAATATTTATAGACGATACGATGCAACGGCGACTTTCTTACGCCGAACCCGCTAGGATGTTATAGTATCCTGGCTGGAGTTTAAGACGTGTTTGACATTAGTGGTCCAGCAGCTTTGCCAGATGGTCGATGCTTAGGGCAGGAAAGAAACTAGCGTTATCGTTATCAAATGGATGAGGACTATGGAATATCTACTATTCGTATATGGGCCTGTTTGACTGACTTCCCCCATTTAAATGTTTTGTTATACTTGTTTGTAACCAGCTCAAAGGGACTAACCGAACATAACATGATGACAGCGTTGCAGAGTCAATCTACTTAGCGCCATTTTTTGGAACAATCCCGAACACGCCATTCATTAACGCAT